ACATCACGTCAATTTCAACCCAAGGGCTTATAGCTTAAAGGCCAACTTTAATCAAACAATTTAACATGAACTTCATTTTCAGAAAAAAAAGTTGAGCGTCACTAATTCGTTCTTGTTTAAATTAATGCCCCTCTATTGTGTACAGCTTACATTTCTTTTTTTTATTTATCGGTTATTTATAATCTAAATCGTGTATGCCCAACCCCAAGGTTAGGTGTTAAGGGCATGGTTACCATTTCCGACAGTCCATATATAACTAATCCTTGCTTTTGCTATCAATGTTTGGATTTTTTTTTTTTTTTATAAACTGGGTGCATAAAGTCTGCTGTCATTTCAAAGAACTGTATTTTATTGTTTATTGTTTGGTTTTGATAAGGTGTCACTTTAAAGCTGGTTTCTTTATTTATAATCATAAACTTATGATAGATAAGTATCCTAGAAGTTTATTTATCTTAGGCGTGGAACAAAATTTAATTATAGTAAATATACATACTTTAAGAATGTCGATAGTAAGAAAGATATTATTTCATTATAAGTACATATAAAAGATAAAATCATAATGGTCAATGATTTACTAATAGTGAAAATTCAATAACTCCACATATGTATACGCGAGAACATGCAATACAACTGTATAAGTACATAGTTTACTACTTAATTCATTGCCTTTAAAGGAGAAAGAATAAGACATTTTCGTTCGTTCCTGGAGTTTAACGTCAACTTTCACCTAGGGTGATATCGCAGACAAGTTATAAAAGACATGTCAATAGTTTGTTTTTATACCAGGAATTGTTCCCCAAGAGCCATGTATCTTGATGTCGTTCTTCTTCTTCTTGTAGGCGATGGACATGTACGATCGCAATCTGAACAACAGACCTACCTTACTTGCAGAGATGTGAAAAGCTAGTACGACCAGGTTCTTTTTGAAGGGGTAACGGATCATCGAATGACGGACTTCCATATTTGATACGACGGCACATTTTCAAAATGGAGACAATGACGGAATGTGCAGTTTTATTAATGATTCTATTATTTTGCCCCAACTTTATTTTTACTCTAAATGTGATTGCCTAAATATGAAATGCAAGCCCTTAAATATCACCTCAATTAACTGAATCTCAAGTAGATGAACAAAAGCTACGTATACACCATTGCTCCTACACAAATCATGCCCTGCATTCTTTTAAATGTATTTCTTATCTGCCTATAATATTTTAAACAATGTACATATTTGATAAGAGTATGCTTTTAAATAAATATTGACTGTATTTTTAAGAATAACTTCAGACGAGTTTTTATAACAGTGTGCGTGTTTGCTAGAAATAGATATTATATATAATTTATAGACAGTTTTAAATAGATAGATATCTATATTGACAAAACTTATCTTAATGTACTTGTAGTGCAATAAAAATCACACTTATATATATATTATACATGTACTACTAAATTCCACCGTGGTAAGTGGCTATCTTTACTAAGCTCTATATGTATTTCGCTGTATCTATATCTAGAAGGTGTTAAAACCAGAACAAAAGGAGTAATATTGTTAAAACGATTTTTTAATTTGCTCACGTTATAAAAATTAAAGTTACAATTTTCATATACATGTATTAGATAATTAATCTGCATTTATAAAACTGTTCATCTACATTTTCTAGGAGCCTTGGGGGCTCAGTGGGTAGGTCGCTGGCTCGGTAACCTGGAGTTTCGGGGTTCAATCCTAGTATCACCCATGACAGTGTCGGAGAATGGAGGGTCTGATGTGGAACAACGTCTAGTCGTACGTAAATTAAATCTTAACAGTTGTAATTAGAAATAACAGAAGGCCGTAGCGCATTATGACAGCCTTCTTATACGTCTGTATTAGATAACTGACCTTTATAGGTTCAAGTATGCCTTCTACAGGTGACGTCACATCACGGGCGTCCATCATTGGCTCCATGGCGCGTGCATCGTTTACATAAGACGTTGTTTCGTTAACATTTACTCATTTCATATACCAATAACACTAAATAGGAAATAGTTTTTTTTTATGTAGATATACTTCAAACACCTTTATTTATTTTTTTTTCTAATACTTCAAAAAACAAAAATGTTTTAGGATTTAATTTACAGATGGACAAAAAATAACATCGCGAGCTCATTAAGCCACACCCATGTCACCCATCCCTCTCGGAGTGATTAGCGGCCTAGCGATTATTCACTACCGGTCAGCGTGGCCCTCGTAGCACACTGAATGGCTTAATTATGCTTATCGTCATTAGCCCAAATGGCCGGAAAAGCAGGGAGACAAAACTCCATTTGGTTTCATATACATGTCCTATTAGCCATACGGTCACAGTCACGCATATTAAAATAATAAAGATATAACACGAGATAAGGTCCATGTCGAGACTAAAAAATATGTCCCGATGCGCCATTGATAGTTGTCGCTAAGAAATTTCTTTCGACTTAATTCGCGTTAATATGTACTTCAGATTGATTATTTTATTTCAGAAAACAAAATCAAAACAGCAAAATAGCCTAGTTCTATAAAATTTCAATTGCACAAGTATAGTAAATATTGAACATTAAACCATTTATGGCCGGATATTCATGTTTCACATATTATTGTTTGCAATTGATTCCTATTGCTTAAAATGGAGCATCACGACTTTAACTATACTTGAACACTATTTTCAAGCAATCGAACAGCAAAGTAGAATTGTTTTGTTAGCATAGATAAGATTCTCTCAAATGGAAATCTGATGATATACAGAATGATCAAACTGTAGGGTAGGTGAGATTTAACATGTACAGTACGAGGCGTGTGAGACGCACGGTCGAAAGATTAAGACAATGAGCAGTCAATAGAAAAATCGTGGTAGCATTTTATACTATAGGTTAGTGGGTTGTAGGGGTTGCCGAAAACGTTAAAAGTAAGACATGGTTCACCTATTGCATGTATTTACACGTTGGCGATATACCTTGTTTGTGTATAATTCTATATTGACCTGCATGTGGGCCATCATTGGTACAAAGCACAAACAATCCCGGGTGTTTTACGGGCTTTTCAAGCACACGGGTACATGGGGACAGGGGCGCCCTTATGGTGCACTTATATGATTTCTCAAAAATACGGGAAAATCACAGGTACATGGGACAGGAATATTGTAAAACATTGTGACATAAACTACCTGTGGGGATAATGGATACATGCCAAAAGATTGCGTTTAATTTAGTGTCAAATGGACTCAATCCGCAAGTACCTGTGAATTTCGCCGGTTTTCCCCGAAGGAATTATTAGTGAGCAGAAATTCGCCCCGTGTATCTATCATTCCTCGTCCCTTCTGTCAATGGCCGACATCAATATTGTCCTTTAACACGAACATGTTTGATATTAAATATTATATGATTTAGCACCAAATACGAAGAAAAATGAAGAAGCTTAAAAAATATTGAAAAATATGAAGAAAAAGAAACAACAGAATTGACCTGTAACACAATCATCTGATGAAAATATTGAAGGGTATTGATCATTCCGACTTTTTGCTACTCTCGATCACAGGAATCTATGGGCTCTCAGACATACTTTTAGCACATGATTCCCCTAAATTCATGTTTACTTCCCGATCCTTCCGCCCCTAAATCACGATTTCTCATTAAAACCTGGCAGAAAATGTAAAATCAAAATCTCTTCTTTCCATCTAGATCAAAGATAGGTTGCCAGGCAACGAAACATACGCCCACAGCAGCTAAATTGTCCGGGCAGTCAACAAGTGTTGTCGAATATTTTTACTTCTTTCGGTAATGAAACATTTATAATACACTAAAATCTGATTAAGAGTAACAACTCATGAAGTAATTATCAGAAACCCATTAGAATTTGTTTGGTTTTTATAAAGTTCTGCCCAATGCTAACGTTTAGTATACAAAACTTTTAATATCATGGATTTAGCTGTTCAAGTCATAAAAATTCATTGAAAATCAGTATACTTGTTCGTCTCAAGCTCTTAAACTCTGTGTATCAATATGAAGTCAATCGGATGATAACTTTAGCCTCTAGAGCGTCACAAGATTTTTCAAAGTGATCAAGGGCCATAACTGTGACAATAATTATCGAAAATCACTGAAAATGAATAGACTTATTTGTCTCATGACCTTAAACACTGTGTATAAATTTAAAGTCAATCGGATATTGACTTTAGCCTCTAGAGCGCCCACAAGATTTTTCAAAGTGATCAAGGGCCATAACTCTGGCAGTAAATATCGAAAATCACTGAAAATGAATAGACTTCATCTCATGACCTTAAACACTGTGTATAAATTTAACGTCAATCGGATATTAACTTTAGCCTTTAGAGTGTCCGCAAGATTTTTCCAAGTGATCACGGGCCATAACTCTGGCAGTAATTATCGTAAATCGCTGAAAATCAATAGGCTTCTTCGTCTCATGACCTTAAGCACCGTGTTTAAATTCAAAGTCAATCGGATATTAACTTTTCCCTCTAGAGCGTCCACAAGATTTTTTGAAGTGATCAAGGGCCATAACTCTGGCAGTAATTATCGAAAATAAATGAAAATGAATAGACTTTTTCGTCTCATGACAGTAAATATCGAAAATCACTGAAAATGAATAGACTTCATCTCATGACCTTAAACACTGTGTATAAATTTAAAGTCAATCGGATATTAACTTTAGCCTCTAGAGCGTCCACAAGCAATTGTGGACGCCAGACCGACGGACGGAAGGACGGACGGACAGACGGAGGCGACGACAATATACGACCACATTTCAATGTGGGCGTATAAAAAGCCAACCATAATTGCAATGCAAGGCGGGATGGGGGTGGCGAGAAAGAGGGAAATGTTATATTTATGAATAGCCCCAAGACAGGCGAAAAGTATGCTAATATGTTATTAAACTAGTGCTGAAATCAGTTTGTGTCGATATATCTATTGTAGTCTGGAGGCTCAGCGCGGGGGGGGGGGGGGGGAAGGGGGTGTCCATCAAATGGGCACAAAACCAGACCCAACTTTTCTAGAGTAAAATTTTGCGTAGAATACGATGCCGAGTGGTAATCAGTCCGCCGTTGGGGCGTTTCCGAGATATTCGGGGTCAAAGGTCAAATGGGTTCATTTGCACTGAAAGTGAATGCGCGGTCATTCTTGTATCATGAAAATAAGCTGAAAATGATCGAAAGTAATCACACTTTCAATAAAAATGTAAACTTGCTAAATATACGAGCCCGAACCTTATAATCTTAACAGCTGTCTGATGGGTATACTTTGGGGGAGGGTGGGGTGGTGCTCATTTATTGCTTATTCATTATTAGGAGTCCATCGTTTCTATCATATTATTTGCATTGCACAGAAAGCGAAATCCGGAAGCGGACAGGATTGTGAAGCAATTTAAACCTGTTGTATTTCCTAGTTCATAGAAACGTACCAGTGTAAATCTCACCAGACTTTCATTTATATCTATGTTGTATATTTATTTTCCGTTTGTTAATAGCAACCACCATCAGAGAGTACAAGCCTTGAAAATTCATAATGCAATCTACAAGGGATCGTCATAATTGTAGAAACATGATCTGATCCTCTTGTCTTACATATTCTGTCCTCTAGACATTATTTTTTCCACAGATGATAAAAAAACGAAGATTTATGCGGGATGAGCAAATATTGTGTGGGCGTATTTGATTCCCGGGAGCTTGGGTGTAACAGTTTTTAAGATAAAATCATATTCCAAAATTATAAGAATAGATGGACAATTCACAAGTTTGTTAATCACTCAATTGATATGAGAACGAAGTGTTCGTGCATAAATCGTGCATGATCACGCAATTGATCTTTTAATCAATAAAACCTTCCTGCCTCATTAGATCATTCCGGATATCTGTTAATAGAGTTTTTAAAACATATTCTCCACTACTTGAGGGTTTACTTGGCTGCTCCAGTATGGTTTTAGGATAAGTGTCATACAGCTTTCTTTTTATTTCTGGGTGTTGTGTTAACTGTAATAAATGAAATGGGTTTTAAATCACTCTACAAAATCATGATAATTTCGAGACTAATGTATTATTTCACTAATTCGCTTGTATGAAGTTGTGGGCGGGGTGAGCCCACTACATTATTACTACCTCTAAATTTCAAGATATGTTGGACTAGAAAGTTCCCACGCCTATCTTTAAAGCCCGAACATGCAAGCAGGACAAGGTTTCAAAATATATGTACATGTACTATACACGATCAAATATACATTTATTCATAAATATTTGTTCACACATTATTCAAACGAATTAATTCTAAATAAAGTTATAGCCATTCAAAATCTCTATTAGTTTTCATTAATTTCAGACCGCCATCTGGGTGTGTCTTCGGCAAACAAAGTAATAACAATTCGGCGATGTTTCATTCTTCATAACAGGTTTTTATACGACCACAGTTTCATATGGAGGAAAATTGTCGTCGTCCTCATACATAAATTGAATGTTTATAACCCAAAGATCTCGATGCCTTTCGATATTCGCGCATATTGGATCGTAACTTCCTGGACCGAAACTGATCGAAACTGCTCCTTCTACGCACAGACTGTAAAAGTATGTAATACCAAGGATCTGGACCATATAGAGGTCATAATTGTGACCCGATTTTGATGAAACATTAAATATTTGTTTATATCCCAAAGTTTTCAGTTTCTTTCGAGATGACATGTACCGGACGGTAACTTTTTTGGATTATGGCGTTTTTAGATTGTGGATCCTCTAGAGGTTACAATTTTTATCCAATTTTAAAAACCGCTCAAATATATCACCGATACATCCTAATGACGTTTAAGTTCGAATTTCGTGAAAATCGGGTCGAGACTGTGGACGAAATGATCGCTTTATGTACGCTAATAGTGTAAACGTAAGTACCAAGGTGGTGAACCCTCTATAAGTCACACTATTTATCCGATTTTGATAAAATTTTAAATATATGTTTATATCCCATAGATCTTGGTTCCTTTAGATATTGTCCCATGTTGGACCGTAACATACTGGATTATAAACCCTGGTTCTCTGCCCAAAATGTAGGCGTATCTTGCATGACAACCGCTTGTTTTATACCCCGATGTGCATAATTAAATAATAACATCGGTTTTCACATTAAAATAGTATACATATTTTTTTTACTTTTGCTGTGCCTTTAAATTGTTGGATATTTTGTGAGTTTGCAAATTTTAAATAAAACCCGAGGGCAAGTGTCTCCAAAATGAGTATTTTATATATTCAATTTATTCTATTTTGATATGGGCTGCCTAAATGTAAAACTGTTTTTAAAATACATACCTTTGCTTGGTATGCTTGTGTCATATATTTGTCGGCGTTTTCACCAAACCATTTTATATTATCAAAGTTTGCTACTTCTCTACCACAATTCAGTATATCATTTTCCTCTGACAACTTCATTATTTTTGCTTTTGCCTTCCGAACGTTATCTTCAAACAATTCTACAAAAATAAATTGTATACATTATGTATAAGATTTAGATAAAGAGATGGTCGTTCTTGCTATAATGATTCAAAAATAGATAATGCAAAAATTGTGAGTGTTTAATTGACAACAAATAGCTTCGAAGGTCAGTCCTTTTATGGAGTGGTGTCCATTTAACGTTAACCGATTATATGGCACGGATGGTTACTTGTTCTTGGTCCCCAACAGAATCAAAACAAACATTTTATGTTTTTGAGGATGGGACTTTCAAGTACTGTAAGGCAGTTCTAGAATTGTTAGCTAATTTTACATGAAGTTACATAGACAAAGCCAGATATGTTTGCTTAACCAAGACAAAACAAGTACAGTTTAAGGAATTGTAAATGCTGGGATATATAATACGTCTATGATATAGAACGCTGTGTCAGTTAATAAAGAAGATATAGACTGTTAGCACATTTAATCAACTCTATGGAGTGATACATCAACTTGTCGGTCGGTTGATAAATACTGACCCAAGGTCATTAATGGTATATCTGTCAAAAGTGTGCCGGGCATAATATGAAGTATATGATCTGTAATGACATGAATGCGAAAGCGTCTTGCCGATTCTCTGGGAAAGATATTTTTTGTACTCGTGATTTATCCACATAAAATAACCCAGGGAAAAATAATTTATCCAGGCTTTATGCAAATTTTGTGTTAGTAGATTGCTTTAACTTTCGAAATTGCCAATAAACGACAAGACCGTGTTCAAAGCTTGTGGCGTGTTACATTGCAAACAATCGTAAGCAAGTACTAGAAGTTCAGATTCTAAACTAATAGAAGTAGTTCTATTTAAAATCCGTCTTTAAAACTCCAGCTCAGTCACGATCTAAAGTCGAATGTAATAGAACATGCTCGATTGCAACACCTTCCGACATTTTAAACCTTAGTCAGCAAATAGAATAACTTTTGAATTGTGACGACAGGCGACAGATACTGACACTGTAAAGCTAACGTAACTTTAGAACATGTACAATAACACAGTTTACTTACCCGTTTTCTTATATTCTACAAACTGAGTAACACTGCAAAATGTAACACCGTCTACTTCAAATTCCCACTTATAGCCCTTACTGAGTGGAGAGTCAGCTCGAATTAACTCATACTCCTTTGAAAGTTTTTGAGATAATTTCCTGTAATCTTTATACTTCAAAGCTTCTTCTTGTGGTTTAGATTCCGGTTCAACAGCAGCTGCTTCATCGGATGTATTATCTTCCTTGGGTTTATGAGGACTTTTCTCAACATGTGTTTCTAACGTACCCTTGATATTGTTTAAAACACCTTTTGGGGGTTTAGAATCGGGTTCAGTGTTCCAACTTTCTTTATCAACCGTTGGTCCATGTGTTCTATCATTTTTGTAACTGCCGTTCTGTTTGTTACCCTTTGGGGTTTTGGATTTTCGTTTTTTACTATCCTTCCACGTTTGCAAATTCTCAGAACTCTTGCGATCCACTCGTCTTTTTCTGTCACCATTCTCATTGATGGTCAAATCTTTAGCAGAACTGGATATGGAAGCATTTGCGTCATGTTTACCTGGCTCTTGGTTGTTCAACTGATCAGTATTCTCGCCAGGCACATCATTTATCCTGTCCTTTATTAAGGATATCGCCATAGCATCTTCTGACGATTCGATTTCCGTTTCCTTGCCTTTAGTTATATAAAAATCCATTGCAGACCCAGAAACTAGTACTGGGGAATCCGAATTTTCTTTGGAAGCCTCAGATTTGTCATATGTATCAGTGGGCAATTGAAATCTATTACTTTCGAAACCTGAATCAGTATCATCGGACTTTTCTGGCGTTTCAGTATGATCCTGTGAACCAGTTGGTTTAGAAGGATGTGATGTGGTTTTATGGCCATTCTCCTCGTTGTTACTTGTAGCCTTTATAGAACGATTTGAAAACTGGTCACCCTTCATAATTTCATCACGGACTTCCATTAGAATGAATTCGCTCCAATGTCGCCATTTAAAAAATGCTTCTTTACATTGATGTAGATGACGTATGATCTCCTCTCTATCTCTTTTCTGAAGATTTAATATTGTCTTTGGAAACGAATTAATAAGTAATTGTTTGAACTCTTCATTTTGGGAAATCTGAAGAATATATATAAAACTAAAATATTTTACTACTTAATCCATGAAGAAAACAAGATTTTAAAGTTAATATTCAAGTGAAACAGTGTTTTCTTAAAGCAAAGAACACCCGGTTAAGACGTTCTTAAAGAGGCGTAATCCTTTATTAATTTTATATAATGTCACATTAAAAATAACTAGCCAAAACTAATTAACGAAATTCTATTATTGATCTATTTCAACGAAGGTTTGCTGAGCTTCAAAACATACTCTGTACGACTCATATAACGAATATGAATCCTAACACCCCATATGTGGTCAAATGCAGTATAAATTCTAATCTAAAAAAACAATGTAACTATGAATAGTCAAATTAAGGCAAATCGATGTGGTGAAGATCTAATAATTACTCTTACCGATACAACTCTTTATGTATCCCCTTCCTTGATAGTTAAATCCTAAATACATAACTACCTATCTAAAATACCCTCAAATTCCACGTGTGGCAAAATATATATCTGTAAATGCTTGAGAAAACAGAAGTGTACGGTACCTTAGCTTTAACACCTTTCTTGTATATATCATTTCTTTGTTCGTACCACTGCTTTGAAGTGGAGTTAGATACCCTGTCGTCCAGTAAATCACCTGGTCTAGATATTCCAATAGCTCGTTTCTTATTTACTTCATCTTTAAAAAGATCTTGACAAAAATAAAATATAATAAATTAGACTGTATTCCAAACTGCTACCATAACAATTTGTCTAAAGAACAAAATCTACACAAGAGAGAGAGAGAGAGAGAGAGAGAGAGAGAGAGAGAGATGGGGTTTAACTCGACACAAACCAGGTAATATTTATTTCAATAATTCGTTTGTGTGTAGGGGTCTTTAGCAATGGCAGGAAACCGAGGGATCCGGAGAAAACCCACGAGGTTAAACAGGCGACCCTACAACGTACAACCAGGGGGAATCGAAGCCACGCCAGTTGAGTCAATGACATATCTTATGATACAGCGCGCATGTGCTAACCATTCGCCCCCCCCCCACACACAAACACCATCTGCACACTAAAGCTGTAATTTTTATCATTGTATGCACAACTATGAAAATTTGTAACGCAACACACTGGATAATGATAACTATGTTGTAAGTTTGTATGCTTGATAACGACTAGTATAAATTCGTCTAAACGTTGTGTGTATATATGATATAGTGATTGCTATCTATGCTTCTTTTTGGAGGGGGGGGGGGCTAGTGGACTAGAGTGTCAGGCTTCGACCTGTAGCCGGTCTTCACCCCTGGCTTGCGGTTGTGGTTTCGATCTCTGGTGTGAGCTTATATGGCTTGGAGATAGGCACGCCTTCTCAGCCTCGTGGGGTTATACCTGCGCGTGCGCTAAATTAATAAATACGAAAATAAAGACAAACTGACTGCAATATCACCTTCGGTGGAAGCGGACGCTGAACTCTAAGAACAATAACATCTATGCTTTAATCCAACAATGACCCCAAATAAACGGTGTCATGGCGGAGTGGTGTAAAATCTTAAGGGTTATAGACTGTAACTCTAAGAACAATAACATCTATGCTTTAATCCAACAATGACCCCAAATAAACGGTGTTATGGCGGAGTGGTGTAAAATCTTAAGGGTTATAGACTGTATCCTTATTGTTACTGTTCATCTTGTTCGGTAAACAAAGTTAATGATTAAAATATATGAGATATAGACTGGATCATTAGTATTACTGTTCCTCTTGTGCGGTTAACTATGTTAATGATTAAAATATTTGAGATAAGTTCAAGTTCATCAGTTAACGAGGATCTTAACATTTTATTTGCCTATCTTGCATTCCATATTTACTCATGAATCAATCAAATATATCATTAGAAACTCTTTATCACTGTATAAGGGTATCTATCACACCAATTAAAGATGGGTTGCCAGGCAACGAAGCATACGCCCACAGCAGCTAAATCGTCCGGGCAGTCAACAAGTGTTGTCGCATATTTTTACTTTTTTCGGTAATGAAACATTTATAATATAATACACTAAAATCTGATTATTTCAACAACTCATGAAGTATTTATCAGAAAACAATTAGAATTTGTTTGGTTTTTATAAAGTTCTGCCCCATGCTAACATTTAGTGTACGAAACTTTTAATATCATGAATTTAGCTGTTCAAGTCAATGAAAATCAATATACTTGTTCGTCTCAAGACCTTAAACTGTGTGTATCAATCTGAAGTGAATCGGATGATAACTTTAGCCTCTAGAGCGTCACAAGATTTTTCAAAGTGATCAAGGGCCATAACTTTGGCAGTCATCGGAAATCGTTGAAAATCAATAGGATTCTTCGTCTTATGATCTCAAACACTGTGTATAAATTTAAAGTCAATCCACAAGATTTTTTGAAGTGATCAAGGGCCATAACTCTGGCAGAAAATCACTGAAAATGAACAGACTTCTTCGTCTCATGACCTTAAACACTGTGTATAAATTTAAAGTCAATCGGATATTAACTTTAGCCTCTAGAGTGTCCACAAGATTTTTTTAAGGGATCAAGGGCCATAACTTTGGCAGTTATTATCGGAAATCTCTTCTTCGTTGCATGGCCTTAAACACTGTATATAAATTTAAAGTCAATCGGATTTTAACTTTAGTCTCTCGAGCGTCCACAAGTAATTGTGGACGCCGGACGAACGGACGGACGGGGGCGACGGCAATATACGACCACATTTCAATGTGAGCGTATAAAAATAATATATCTTTATAAATTGTAAAGGCGTTGTAAAATTATTGTACACCAGTTTATATACACTAATCATATTACATTAATGGTGGGGAGTCAAAAGATCGTATCTGGATTTTGCGAAATTGTCCAGGAGAGCCAAAAAAACACACAGGGGTTAAGAATCAAAATGTCTAATTAAACCGTCACGTCAAAATGTCGTATGTAAAATGTCGTATTTCTGAAGCTTTCTTAAATATTTCTGTACAAAGTGTATGTGTAGCCATTAAAACAATATGTAACTATCCGCGCTTATCAAGCTCAACATTTAGTGCAGAAATAAAGAGTAAAAGCTAGTTATTTGCAATTTTATACAGCAAAGACGTATCTCAAGAAAATATTCACCTTTACCTGCTTCAATTTCATAGAATTCACACAGTAGACGCTCAACAATAATTTCTATAATACATATTTAACTATAAAACAATACTGGCTACATTTTGTTTGATTGTAATACTTTGGTTAGACACAAAAGTGATATTTTTAAAAAAAAAATACGGCATTTTCACTCTTAATATTTTGTTGTTTTTTTGAGAACACCCCATATACGACATTTTGAAACAATATCTATAAAACCTCTTTTTATTGGCTTAGAAATAAGACAACTAGATGAAAAGATGAGGAAGAAAATCCTCATTCTGAAGAAGCAAAAAAGTAAATTTCGCAAAATATGCCGGATACGACCTTTTGACTCCCCACCGACGAACGTGGTTTTCACTCATTTTCGTTCATTTTAGGTCTATGGGGTACATAACCACGTTGACAGACCTCTGGCTAGATTTATTAATTTTACTATACTTCGTAACATTTCTTACCTGCTTTACAATAAAACATGTATTGATCCAGAAAACAAAATTCAACACCATCAACAACAAACTTAATACAATGACGATTACTTAATGGTGAATCATTATCGAAGAATAAAAACTTCTCTGAACGATCCGGGCTTTCCCTGCTGTTCGAAGTTTCCTTAACGGGGGGGTGAATATTTGGGCTTTCTTGTATCATTGGTTCGACGAGAAACGTTTTCCTTGGCTCTTAGCTTATCACGCACATCCATTAATATCAAATCCCTCCAAAACCATATCTTGTTCTCACGTTTCGTTAAGAGATTTGGCCCTTGTTTTTTTATGTCCCGTCTCTCATATCCTTTCACTTGAAGTATTTTCTTTGGATATGATTTTAACAAAGTATTCTTTAGAGATTCATTTTGTGTAAACTGAAACAAAGGGAATATTATTTTATAAAACCATCAAAGAGTCCATTAGCTCCCGAAATCAATTGTGTATTAAACGAAACATGCACTTTAATTTTACAAATAGTAAGATACATGTATTTATCTTAGAAATGCTGTTGATATCGGTTATTTCCTATTTCTCTACATCATAGGTTCATACTATATTAAATTCAAATTTTAAAAGGTCACAAATGAAGGGGAATAATGAATGCCTGTTTTTTTTTATTACAATTGGTGTATTTATTCGTTTTGCCCGTAGATTAAGATCAATGCTTGTATATAATCGTTTTTGTTCGAAGATAAAGGTTAATATTTGTAAAAATAAAGACCAACTTCCAATGTATCTGTTGTAATCAGGATTTAATCTGACAGAGTGCACCCAACCCAGAGAACAAATACACGATATGCAACACATTATTTGGACGAAAAGCAAAGAAACGGTTTATAAGAGCCAGAATAGTCTGTTGTTATTAATCCGTTTTTTATCGTATTAATTGTTAAATATGCATATTAATTTAGAAATTCTCTAACAGTTTCAACTCCATGATATGTATTATTCTTGTCCATCATTAATTTCTCTACAACATCATTTACTTTAAACAAACGTTATTCTGGCAGCCTACTAATTTCAGAATAAAAGTTTTCAGAAGTTCTATTAGAGAAATGATTGTATATGACCATTAATAGTGTATGTTTTAGCCCCGTGTAATGGCTGGGGGTGGCTGGTTTTAGTAAGTTAATAACTCTAGGACTGCTTTAATAAATTCGGATTCAAACAATACCTTGGCTTCAACTCCTTTTCTATAGCTAACTTGGCTTTCCTTATACCACGTTTCTTCATGATAATTATCTACCTTGTCTTCTATATTATATAATTCATGGGCTGATTTTATAATTAGCGCTTTCTCCATCTGAACTCTGTCTTTAAATAACGCTGAAAAGATGAAAACAAATGTTACAATTCCATTTGGTGAGATCGACCATATTAAAAACAAAAGAATAGTGTTACATTGGGCGACATGTGGGTTTGCGAGACGGATGGACATTTTAATTCAAATATACATTCTCATTTATAAGATTTACCAAACAGAGGTTCAGTAGCAATTTTACAAAACCTGGATGCCGCACCTATGCAGATAGATCGGCGTTATAAGAAATATACAATCTTATACGTACCCGCTTTTCTATAGAACATATAATGTTCTACCGAATAGAACGTTTTATCATCAACAATAAACTCACAAGGAGATTCGGAATGAAATGGTGATTCCTTCCCCAAATAGAACAAACACTTATTAGAATTGGGTTCTCTCTGTTTATCCTTGAATCTCCTTTCGAATACTAGAGCGGTTTCTGTTGTCTCGAATTCCCTCTGATCACGTTGTAGAGTAGGGATAGTGGGTTCTTTTATTAGATTTTCTTTCATCATTAGTTCATCTCGTACATTTGTCAGAATTTGCCCTAGCAAATTTCGTCCCCTCCAACAGTCTGTATGTAAAGCTCTTGGGTCCTGTTTGGCGAGCCCGATGCCCCATCTCGTGTCACTGAAACTACATTCCACTAATAACCTTGGGTACGTTTCAAACAACATTTCCTTCAAGGATGTGTTCTGTGAAAACTTAAAATTAAAATTATATATATTTTATATAATTTGTTTACGAAGTGATAATACATAATGAACATTCCACTGCATTCCACTTATAACTTTGGGTTGTGTTCTGTGAAAACTTAAAATTAAAATGATATATATTTTATATAATTTTTTTACGAAATGATAATACATAATAAACATCCCTTTGAAATGGAAGGGGGTTTAACGAAGATGGGAACACCTCATTCGGTGTGGCGGTGTTTCCGCCTGCGCTTCATCGTTTTCCAACTTACCCGGCCGGGATCGAGGACCTTTTGGTTGGTGAGCGCTATACTCACTGAAAAACCGTGGCTCCCAATTAAAATATACACTCTAATTAAAATATACATTCACAGCCATTTTAATATAGTAAGAGTAAGAGTAGCAAAGGCCAATGAATTGATGCAGTGCAAGAGTAAGGGTTTCTAATGGTAATGCAATCTTTGACACGAAGGATTATTGCCACTGCTCTATTTGTGTTCAATATTGTTATTTTCTGAATCCACCATTATCGCTCGGTGTTAAAAGAACGTCGACTATTTGATTTGTCCAGTACAATATATTCTGAAGTGGACTGATTAGTAATTAATATAAACATTACGCTTGTAAAAATTCGAATGGACAAAAAATATTTTAGGTGGAATATTTCATGGTATTTAACAAGTTTTAAGTAAATGTGTTCGAGACAACGGTTTTGATAGAGACATATTCCAGAGTGGTTTCCCCATGTCAGTGTTGCAGGAGAAATTGTCTGGCAAGGACAGTGCCTCGTCGTACGAGTGGTACGAAAACCAAGTAGAAGTGTACCTTAGCAAGATTTGCTGTTTTAACTTTATCTACTGCATGTTCCATCCATGGTATGATTTCAAAATTCTTCACTTCTCGTCCCAGAAGTGTGATTTCAACAGGATCCGTTGCCTTCAAAATCTTCTCTTTTATGATTTCGTCTTCAATTACAACTATGGTAAAAAGAAAATAAAACAATTTGTATAGTTTGTATAAATTAAGATCAAAACTCAAGATGATACAAATTATGCTGTAGTCTATAAACAATAATATCATCATGGTAACGCTAAGTTTCGTAAATACATCCTGCAATCAGGGGCGTAAAAAATAGTCGGTCGCAAAATATATACAGTCGGTCATAAAATAAGTGCAGTCGATCTCAAAATAAGTGCTCACTGAATTAATGAGGTAAACAAACAATGCCAAAATGTAAGGAAAAATCCCAATTTTTATGTATTTTCGTCAATCCGTGCACCTAAATTGCATACGTCACGCTACCCACCAAAACTTTAGTATAAGATAAGTTGTTAACTTTTCATGTTTGAACAAATGTTTTTTACCTCTATTCTGTTGTGAGTTGGAGAAAAAAATTCCCCCAGAGAGAAAAATAGTCGGTCTCAAAATAAGTGCAGTCACTGCAGTCGGTCTCAAAATAAGTGCAGTCACTACAATCGGTCTCAAAATTATGCATGGTCTCAAAATATGTGGTCACTGCAGTCGGTCTCAGACTAAATGAATTAATGAGGTAAACAACGCTAAAATAGAAGGGAAAAATTTTGTGTGAATCCGTGCAACGGTATAATAAAATAACTTAGTCAACTTGTCAATTTCCCTGTTATGAGTATGTTGGTCTAGTAGTAAGTGCAGGGGGGCTGCACCATACGTAATTTACAACAAAATAATGTATGTGGACAAGAAATAATACGCAGAAATCACAAACAAACGAACAATTTAAAACAAAAGTGAATGGATCCGGGGGCTAGCCGTAAGCGTCCACTGCGCTGTGCAGTCCCGGGCCTGTAGTGACACATACTTCACTCAAATTTGAAAACAATCGGGAATATAACCCAGAGAAACCATTGTGTAATGCCGGCATCAGTCATGATCTGCTATATGTTACAAGAAATGTGAATGTAAGTATACTGAAGAAAAATTTAACTATACAAGCAACCACGTCGGTGAAATGTATAAAAATCCAGGTAGTCTAAAACTAAATGTTCTAAGTCAACTAGGAAACGTTTTAGTATTCAATAGATTGAGAGAGCTTTTACGAAAATTTTGATACTTTAAATTATATTATTGATTGTCATACGAATAACATTAGTTGAACAGTTGGTAAGACGTTATCGGAAGCATAGTTTGTTTCAGAAATACGTAAAAATTCTTTAAATAATGAAATGTTATGGCGATCAGATTCTATTGAACTTGAGAATTTTTATTTGTTGCATATTTAATCCCAGTAGAAATTAAAACGTATTTTACTCATATTACTCACCATACAATAAAAGAGAATCGAGCAAGCATATATAAAATAAGAAAAATGAGTTTTGTATTTAACAGAAATTCCTTAAATTAATTTACAAAAATTGTAGAAATTCGACGGGCTTTTTCGTTTTACTAATTTAAATACAGCATATAAATTTCATACAGATACGATGATGATTTTTGTCGTTCGAGCGTTCATAAGGTTCAAGTAAGGTGGAAGTAATTTACAAAAATTGTTAAATTCGATAGGCTTCTTCGTTTTACTATTCTAAATAATGCATACAAATTTCATAATTATCGGAAGATAACTTTTGTCATTAGAGTGTTCACAAGAGGTTCAACAAAGTGAAACAAGGGCCACTAATGAACAAGTTCTTAACGGAAATTGCTGGAATTCAATATGATTCTTCGTGTTACTAATTTGAATAATACATGTAAGTTTGGGAGGGGAGGGGACTTTCTGCTCGTTTTGCATACCAATGGCCAAGATAATATTTACTACCATCGCGCAGGCGTAGACTACCATCCTGTTTTTGTCCGGTCAGATCCACTAGATATTTTAGACAATGCTTTGCCAGGTAATCTGGGCACCGTAGCATCGATGTCATACATAAACAAATGATAAATACTTTTAATGACACCCTTTACGTTTCGTAGCTAATAAATTACCTGCTTTACTAAACACAATATACTGCTCAGAGCAGGAGAACCTCATACCATCCACCTCGAACCGACATTTGTGATATTGACTAAATGGCGAATCACTTTCATGAAATAATTCATATTGGTCGACCATTCTGCTTCTTAAATACTCCCTGTACTTTAGAACCGATAACATCATGTTGTGAAATCCTACTTTCACATTAAGTACGATTGATAAAAGTCAGTTCGCAGAAAACTATGGTGTTCTATTTCAGCCACTTCCATCGTCGCTTATGTTAAACTATGGCGAAAAAAAGCGACGTCGACATTATAACACGGCGTCACACCTGCATTTTTGAAAGTTTTTTGGTCTTGTTT